ACCTTCCACTGTTTCCTATGGCTTTGGTGGCACTATGCCTACCTATAGGCTGATGAAAATATGCATTCGGAATGTACTTCGCCCCGTTGAAGTGTAAGGTGCCGCACCAGAATTGGCACTCGTCCGTTCCCGTGTTCATGTCTGAAGGTACACCGCTTGAACACGCAGATAGCTTTGCCTACCTAGGTAACTGAGTGTTTGCTGATAGGCACTATTGTAAAGGCAGTTTTCATCCGCATCGACAAAGCTCGGTCGGCGTTTGTCAAAGTGAACCACTTGTAGCGCCTTCGGAATGTCTCCTTCTCCGTAAAGGGTTAGGTATACAATGCCTCCGTTCGAATAGTGTGACTATATGCAAGTGAGTCGTGGGCCGGTTAGTGTGGATGACATGCGCCGGCACTCGACGTTCAACAATGGGTGCTTGGGGAGGATTGCTCGTGTGCAGTGGCAACAACACATCCGCAGGGACAAAGTAAAACGTTCTGCTTTATGAAATGTGGGTATTCGCTTCAATAAGTCTCTGTTACATCTTGCGTACGTCATCTGAGCGCTTACCCCGTCATGCCTTGTTCGCCCTTGCAGGACTCATTTGGGAGAGACCATGTAGTGATCAGCGCCGCCCACCTAGTGACAGCATATGAAGTCGCTAACTTTACGTCTAGCCGCCGTTTGATCCACACGTCTAACCGGTTGGGGACCAAAGGATGAGAAATGTTGATGGCTTGGAAGACTTCAGGATACAGCCCACAACCGACACTAGCGGACAATTTGTGTAAATGGTTGTTTGGAATCAAATATGTCATACACATCAATTGAAGAAACCCAAAAAAGGAAAAGCGTGTGTGAAAAAGAAATAAGCGTCATGTTTCCTCTTGTAACAATTGTACCTGTCATCTGCTAATTTCCATGCTTTGAAAGGATCTATGTCTATCCATAAGACGGTTGCTGGGCGACGTCCAGCCACTGTCCTGTGGACAATTGAGATGCATCTGTCCTGCTGTGCAAATGGGGAGTAGGTCGGCTCCAAATCAATTGTGCCTCTCATCTACATGCTTCCTGGTCTTATTCCTTGGGGTGTACATCGAAGATGTGGTGCGTGGATGGGCCGGTGAATAGTGCAACGCCGACCACCCATAGTCCCTCTGTATGCGTAGGCGTCCTGTGGCTGTTCGCAATCACATTGGCAGACAAATCAGGAAACAGATATCGCCTACCATATATGTTGTTTCATGACAGCGCGAATGATGGAAACTAGATCCACTACGGTTCGGTGTTTGGATCACAGGGTACGGCATGGTAAACGCTCACTAGACATGCGCAGGACGTGGCCAAACCACCTCAAATGGCGTAACAGAATAGGCTCATAAAGGGAATGGCCCGTCTTGCCTAAGACGCGGTGCCTGACATCATCATTGCGCACTTGGTGCTGCCATCATACATCGGCGATCCCCCGCAAACACTAGTCATCGAAAGCTGAAATTCTACGCATGTCATCTAAACAGACCCGCAAGGATCGGCATCCATACCACGGTGTTACGCAAACACGCATTGCAAACGCTGTTCGCTGAAGAGAACAATATGCCCAGACGATGTCACAACTGTCTCAAGTTGGCAAGGGCTGACCACGCTATAACGTGAGGAAGGGATACCTGTCTAGTGGTGCTACTGGTAGTAAAGCAGCTCCCTAAGTAGACAAAAGGCAAAAAAGCAAAGGCATCAGCGATACGCCGGTACGCAGTACCGACGCTTCGCGGCCGCACAACCACTATCGGTCACATGTGGGCTCAGGATACTGCGAGGGTCGCCCGGCCCCTACGCAGGCTCGAACCCGAGCCCTCAGATTACAAGGCAGGCTTGTGATCCTTAAGGTTACGAGCTGGCAAATAGACAGAACTATTCATTTGTCCAAGCCGTGTTTTTAGGGTGAGCTGATGAAGTGGTATCTGCCAATCCTGTAATAGCACTTCACACTTGGAGTGAGAAAAGGGCATTCGCAGTACGCCGGCATGCCGTACGGACGCTTCGCTGCCACGTGACTACCGGCGGTTGCGCGCGGAACAATTTATACTGCGCAACTACGCAAATTCGAACCGGAACCTTTGGAGTACAATGCAGATGCCGTGTGCCAATCAGGCCCCAAAGACAAAGCACATACCACACGCTTCGACTACTAATCGGTCAAGTATCAATTGGATGCCATGATAGTCGCCAACGAGCACTGTGACATCAGGGTAACATAAATCGGTTGCGTGATTAGCTGGAAGAAGCAAACGCAAAAATTCATAAAGCATTCTAAAACTCGATCACATAGTAAAAGAAAAACAATGATATAGGATATCCTTATCGCGCACCACTAATGACAGGGAAGAATGCAGAACGTCTGCTGCAGACTCTCACTTTGCATAAATAATGAAGGTCTATCACCCGAAAAGTAGCGAGGTACTTTACGGTCTTTCTACTGCATCGCGAATGTCAGAGAGGACAACGACGGTGCATCAGCGGTAAAGGTGGCGATGTTGAAGCAGCTGAGGCAGCGTAAATATTAGGCAAACATCCTCGATCGGGACGAGAACCAGTCTGCTCCTTTCGATAGTGTGACTCACAAGTTGGGGATAGCTTGCGAAGCATGGTAGAGGTTAGTACCTTGGAAGCGACTGATGTCAAACTGACCCATCTGTTATTGGTTCATGGATCACGGGAGCGTTTCGCGAAAGCTGGGACAATTACTGACTCTTCACAAGATGGTAACCTTTCCTCTTGGTAGACCTACAGGAACATGGATGTTAGCTTAATGATAGTTGTTATGACACCGTATTTAAATAATTCCGGAAGAAGCTTAAGCCCGCAGCCTTGAAAAGCTTCAAGTGTCAAATTTCAAGACACACCGCTTCATTGGATGATTCGAGCGATGCAGCCCATGGCATGTGACTGAGTGCACAGAGCGCAAAAGTGGCTAGCGTGGAGCAACTGAATTGAGATTGGAACTTCTCGGTCAGCCTGTCCATACTTCATTATAGACCAGCGATTTGTGATCCATTCGCCTCGTAGATGACGTCGTTGATACCAGATATCCTGTAGTCAGTGGTCTAAATGAGCTGGAACAGCTTGCGAGTATCTCCAGTTAGTGTGGTGACTCTAGCTTCAAGGCGAGTTGGGACCACTAAGTTTCCCGATCGTCACGGAGGCTTCGTCTGTTTCCAGCTGACAGTGCGGAAAAATTCATGCCGACTTGATTACATTAGGAAAGTTCGGCGACGCTCGAATATTGTCAGCGAGAGCGCGAACCAACCCTACAAGGAGTAATGAGCTAGTCCACGGACCGATTGGTAGGAAGTTAGCATTGCGCTCTGTAAGAAAACCCAATGGTAGTCGATATCAGTGTGCGGAAAACAGGCCACTTTGTTTACCAGTGGCAAGTGATAGTCCAGCTGAATCGAGTGATTGGCCAACTTGTTGGTATCAAGTTACAATGTTTCCGTTTCGGAGGCCTTCGATTCGTGTACAAATTTTCGCACAGACCAATGCATGAATTGAATCAACACAAGTATACCGAAATGATCCAGAATATTGCATATTTTCTGGAAAGTTCATTCTTTAATTTCCGATTTCATAAACGCCACTCGGACGATTTCTGAGCTCTTTAATCTTCTGTAGAGCATGTGCGTTTCATTCACGAGCATGGTTTGCCAGCGAGTTACACAAGCATTAACTTCGAGTACGACCTGATAGAGAACATACAGAAGGGAGACGAAATTAGTCTCAGTGCCACTGGATGTCTTATTCCTCTGCCCTCTTTAAACAATCATCGTCGTGGAAATCCAATGTACACCAAACGCATTCTCAGATGAGCGCTAGATAGTTAGCTGCAACAATCCTCGTAGTTCAGCAAAAATAGCTCGAAACGCGAGTATAGTTGTAAACACTTCAAATCGATGAGATTCCAAGTCCGTTCAAAGGCCCCTTTATCCATCCGCGTAATGAAACGGAAAATACTTAGCGAAGCATTTGATAAACGACTCTATTGATGAAGGGTGCAAGGAGGTATTGGGATTAAACTCAGTATGTAAGGGTCATGTAGATATACATGCAAGTGTAACTGCCCAATGTGAAACTCCGTTTCGTAATAACACGCAGCGACCCTGTGCTGATAGGAAAACAGTGAGACTAATAAGGGTCCCACCTTGTGCTTACTAGAATTCAAATACAATGTGAACAGAAGCGATCAACTGAGCGTCGTGGAGTAACTAATCTTGTCTGCACAGATGGACGATCAGCCATCCCATTTAGGCTTGTTTTTGGTCAATCGCGGGGGAATAAAGAAAACAATAAATGGTGTAATATGTTCATATATGTCGTTGAATATTATTATGCATCTTTAACACCGCCGTTCCTTGCTTAAGCCTTTACTTTTCAATAAAATCGTAATTCGTCGGCGCGAGTGACCGTTGGAAGATCCTGAGTAAGCGTTATTATGCCCTTGGTCGTCCCAGTCGGGCATAGTTGAGACGAATTTGGATCACTAAAAAAGTTCAGTTTACCTTCACGTCATTAGAATTGCGAAATTAGAATGTGGGAAGCGATTGCTGCCTAATGCTTGCAACAACAAAAAATGCATTCTTGAAGATGTCAAGGGCACGGTGGAAAAGATTTCCGAGTGACCGAACTACGTTCTAAATGTGTCCAACTGGGACGGCCAGGGGCATAAAAACGGTCACTCAGAGCGCTCCAACGGTCACTCCAGCGGACATTCTTCGGTCATCCGCGTTGTGCGGGGGTTAATTGGACATTCAAGGAAAGCAAGACAACGCCAGATTAGCAGCGACGCGTAGCAAAATAATAAACGGAGCAGGTATGCAAAGTGAACACGGTGGTAAAGACACATAGGACGCATGTCATAATGTAACAGAAACTGGTAACTATGGCTGAAGATTTCAGGTAGCTTGGAGTAAGAAATAGAAGATCCGAGGCTTTCGTAGGACCAAAAAGGGTTAGTAACTCACCAAAAATGGGCAAAATATCGGCTGAAACACCAACGATCAATGGCCAGACCTTTCTGCGAACCTGATTATCAATAAGACCATAAAGGGTGATAGAAAATTCCCGGAGCAGTGTAACGTCGCAATCGCCCTCGACACAGTCGATAATCTGACGTTTTTTCTGCTCTATTAGCGCACCATCATCCATGACAAAAACCAGACGCTCCAGATGTGATATTCCGTCGGTCCCGCGTTTCAAGTTTTGTGTGCAACCAGTAAAGTGGGTCGCAATAGACCGTCTAGCTACAACAGAAAGTAAATACCACGTAGGCGGTAGGATGCATATATAACAGCTACACTAATGTGCCACTTACTAAGTAAGAGACGAACTTAAGGATAGCTAAGGCACGGCTGTGCCTCTCTCGGTGAGAGCAAAACAAACAGTGCGAAGGGAAAACAGAGAAGTAAAAGTAGGCGAAAGCAACAACGGCAATGGAAGCAACATCTCTCGATCTGTTACCTTATAACATGTTACAGAAAAGCCGCAAACCAGTTGCAGTGGACGCAGTGGAATAAAAGTTCAAGTTGGATAGGAATAAAAGGAAAATCCTATCATTAATTAAATCATTAGACACGTTAGCTAGAGGTGGAAAATAGCATTTGTGCAGCAATATATAAGAAAAAAAACGCAATTGAGGCACGCCAGCTGAGCAACCAGTATCGGATGGGTATCGCTCCGAAAAGCTACCAAACGGTAACGTGCCGCAAAAAAATTATACTAGGCAAAATTTATGATATGCTAAGAAATGAGATCGTGGTTGGTGGAGGCTAAGCAGGAGGGGGGACAAGGAAACTCACAACACAAACGCCATTGAGGTCAGCTCCCTGCCTTGTCAACAAGTGTATTCAGCCAAACGTGTCCATCGTCTTTCGGACCCCAACCAAGGAGCCGAGAGGCTCCAATCGCGGCCAACTTAGAACCAAGGGTCCTCATTCCTCTTAATCAAGTCACCGCTTGGCCAGGTGTCCTCTTCTTCCATCCACACCCACGGCGCTCAAACAACGTACGTCGAAGGAATCGGTGCTGGCATGCGTAACACGTTGCCCAGCAATCGGAGCCTGGTGCGTGAAATAACGGCGCTGAGCGGTTCATTTTCCCTTCCTGTGCCATAAACAAAGCGTCGAACACGCTCATTGCTCACACGGTGTTCCCACCAAATAGGACCCAAGCTGCGAAGGCACTGGTGGTCGAACGTAGTTAGCCTCTTTGTGTCTGGCGATCTAATGGGCCAGATTTCACAACCGCACAGTAAGGTCGAACGTACGGCTGCACTGTAAACTCTACCCTTCAGGGAGAGGGTAGTGTAGCGCCGGCGTCACAGGTGGTGAAAATTAGCAAAAGCGTCTCGGGCTTTTGCTATACGTTTTGTGACCACCTCATCAATTCTACAAACGCTGATACAACTGCACAGGTAGTTGAATTTTTGAAAGACTTCCAGCAGTCGTCCGTTTAGCCCCATATAAGGTTGTGAATTCTGGCCCATCAGGTCGAAAGACATGAAGAGACTAACTACATTCGACCATCACTACCTTCGCACCTTAGCTCATTTCTGGTGGGAGCACCGAGTGAGTAATGAATGTGTTCGGCATCGTGTATTTGATGCAGGAAGAGTGAGTGAACAGCTCAGCACAGCTATAACACACGCCAGGCTCCGATAGCTGGGCCACGTGTTGTACATGAGAGCACAACGACTCCCGCGACGTGCATCGTTTGCGCACCCGGGGCCTGGATGGAAGAGGATGGGAGGCCAAATGATGACTTGGTGAATAGGAATGAAAACCCACACTTCGAAGTTGGCCTCGACTGGTGTATCCTGACTGCCAGACTGGGGTCCGACGGACGAGGAACACGTTTGGTTGAACACACTTGCTGACAAGGCTAGGAGCCGGCCCCAATGGCGTTTGTGTCGTGTTTGATTGTCCACCCCCTCTCCTTTAGATTCCCCTCCAAGTACGATCCAGAAAAGCAATTAATAGGATAGCTAAGATTATATTACTTGCTGGTCGAATTTTTATAGTGTAATTTGCAGTATCATATCCTTTTTGTATTGAGGGTTTCTCACCCTAAGGTAAGGTGTTGTCGTTGATGATTGATGATGATGATAACGATGACGACGACGATGATGATCCCCACCAAAGGTCAGTGCATGAGGCGGTCAGTGTCAAGTTTGGAGGAAAGCCTTGTAGTCTGAGGGTGCAAAGCAAAGCCCGAAACAGCTGACGGCCAGCGCTAATCTGTCCAATGCAGCGTCTGGGAGCTGTCACAAAGGAGGGTAAAATGGCCAGGATACTTCAAGTCAAGAAGCCATTCGCCTGAGAGCAGTTTCACGCCTTGTAAATCATTTTCTATGAATGCCATCTCCATGACTTCGTAAATAGTGAAGTTGAAGAGGAAAGCTGAAGGCGAGCATCCTTATCTTACACCGCTGTAGATATTGAGGGGCGGTGACAGGATACTGTAAAACACCACTCTGCCCAAGCTACGTGCATATAACGCTCGGATACTGTTTACATATTTCTCGGACACACCTTTCCTGAGTAGAAGCTCAAATAGCACATGGAGCAACCAAAGCGAAGGCACCTCTGATGTCGAGGAGCACGACAGCAGTGGGTAGCCAATATATGTGACGGTGCCCCAACGATTGATGTGGTCGATGCAGTTCCGATCGCGACAAAACCCTGTTCGCTTCTCATGAAACTGGCTTTTACTTGGGTCTGTCAGTCCGTAAAGGATGACAGAGGCAAGCAATTTAGAAGCGATGGAGATCAGATTGACTGCTCTATAGTTGCCACATTCCGAACGGGAGCCTCCCTTGAAGAGTAAGTGTATGACGGGGCGACTTCAATCGATTGAAACGGTTTCCTGTTCCCACAGTTTCACTAGTGTAAACAATGTGTAAATCATCAACAAGAGCAGATCCTCGAATGTGAAGTGGGCTGGATGAAGATCATCTAGTCCCGCGGCCTTATGCAACTTCAACAGTCCGATTTTAGGTTCCACTTCGGAGCCAGAAGACAGATCTAAAGCGACATCCCAGGGAGCAGCGCAATAACTGGCTGGTGATGAATCGAATAATTCCGGCCGAGTAAACTGCTTTTCAAAATGCGCAGCCTGACGCTCCAAGCGTTTTGACAAGTTATGAATTGGCTGCCCGCTCTCGTCCTAATTGGTTTCACTAACACCAGGTCTCCTGCTGCCCGTTTCCCGTATCAGACGGAATAACCTTCGATGGTTACGAAGAGCAGCGGTCACTTCCATCTCTGATGCACGATGAAACCACCAGGGTTCGCGGTCTCTCTTCAGGCTAGTACGGAGTTTTGTCCGGAGATCTTTGCGAGTCTCATTGTGTTTAATTCTAGCCGGAATATGCCGGCGAGCATCGATAAGTTCCAGAGAACGCGAAGAGACCCAATGTCCATGTTGGCTTTTAGACTTACCACATGAGGATTTGTCTGCTGCTAGTAAGATCTGGTAAACATGCGACCAATGAAATTCAACTGTATTCAGTGAGCGCTTACTCAGCCCGCATGTCAGTGTACTTCGATACGCATTCAGAACATCTGGCTGCGCCAGTTGGCTGGTGTCAATGCACTCGCAGCGTCGTCGTGGGTGTCCGCCAAAACGCATCCGCAGATCAGCACATACGAGTGCACGGTCAGTGTTCACACGTGTTCCAAATCGAGCGACAGTTTTGGACGCAGACTCTCCAGTGGTAACTGATAGCAATGTAATCGATTTGCGTCCATGGATGGTGGGCGCCAAGTCACCCTCCGGCGGGTGTTGAGTAGGAAGTGTGCTTGCTAGAAATAAGCGGGCATCTTCACACAAATGAAGTAACCGCTCACGGTTATCAGTACGGGAGCTTACACCACGCTGGTCGCTCAGATGCATCTCATCAGTGGACAGGTTTCTAATTTCAGCGTTCAGATCCACAGCAAGCACTACAGTTTTCGAACTTCTGTGACGAAGGATCTCTTTCAGTTGGCGATAGAACTCGTCTTTTACCGTGTCATCATTACAGTTTGTGGGCGCGTAGGCAGTGATGACGAACAGACGCCTATTAGTACTGCGCGACTTCGAAGCTTTGAACGATCCAGCCAGTCGGACCGCACACATCCGGCTACCGATTTGGATCCAATCAACCAGAGCAGTTTCAGCCCGGGGTTTTAGGGCAATACCAACACCGGTTTGTCCGTTGCTGGGAGCTGAATCGTCTCTGGATAGGCGCAATGAGAAGGTACAGCTAGTGTCACTTGAAGGGGATCGCAAAGCGAGCACAGCACTCGAGTCTTGCAAGCGGATCTCCGGTAAACAGCTGACCGACCTGCATCAATGTGTGTACATTGAGGCATGCCAATCTGTGGATCAAGGGCTGCTAATGGAAGTCGATGAAGTTGGTTTGACCGTTTGGTTACACATAGGCTTGGTGACAGGAGCAAGAGGGATGCTCCTCGTTTGCAGGTGGGAGAGGGCCAAAAATTGGAGGTTGTAAACGGAGGGATAAAAGTGAAGTTGGAACGGGGTGCTAAGGGTGAAAAAGTGTGAGAGGGAAATAAGACGGCAAGTCTTGAACAGTAGCATCCAAATCCCTATTCACCCTGCTCGATGCAGCAGATAGAGCGCCGTTTGGTATCCTCTACGTTGGCCGGAGCATCGAGAAAGCATGTGGAGAGAAGTTCATAGTTGTATTGCTCGGGCCGGATATTGTCAGGTTGCCCAGGCCTAGACAGGAGAACGATAAGGGTTCTCAACCAACCAACCATAATGGTATGAAATCATCGTTGATCCAGAGTAGGTTCCGACGAGTGGATTTGTTTTCTGGGATGTAAAATCGGCACGCACATCTCACACCGCAGTAAGCCAGCCAATGCCCATGTGTGCTGCCCAAGCCGTCCCCGCTACGCCAATCCCGTGAAATGGAAATAAAGCAAAACAGAAAGTAAAATGATAATAAAACAGCAGACAACTTATACTAAGCACTGGAAGTCAAGAGAACATATATGGAAAATGGTAATAAAATATAAAATGTGAAGAAGAGTTGTAGTTGCAAATCAGTGGCATTAGGTAGATGTTCAAACTACTTAACCGTCGGTGCCACAAGTACATCTCATGGCAGGGCGTTCCAAGTCTGTAGTTGAAAAGACTACACAAGTGCACGTCGGGGTGAACGTTTTGTTTCTAGAAGTGAATCGCGATGACATTGGACGAATGACACTAAAGTATTGTGTCAGTCGTGCAACATA